GTCTGATGTTGTGTGTGACGGTAGATGTCATGTGGGGCACAATCTAATGTCGTGTAGGGTGGTCTGATGTCATGTAGGGCAGTAAATGTCGTGTAGGCCGGTCTGATATTGTGTAGGGCGGTCTGACGTTTAAGGTATAGTGGAGGATGTTCTTTTTCTGAGTTGGGTATCCTAATAAGTGGTCCTCCTTATTGTCAGTCATTCTGGTGATATGTTTACGTAAGGACGTCCTACGTGCTCGTCCCCATTTTCACTTACTGGTGAGTCTGACATAGTGGAGAAACTGCAAATCTTCATTTGGAAAGTAAGCTTGTTTGAGCGATGCAACTTTTAAAGAGAGCTTGCACGAGTAGAAATGGGCTTGTGCACTCTCTCACACACGTTAAATAGGTGTTCCTTCTTGGGAGCAGGTACAGGGCTGTGCATGTGCTTTCCTCCCTCCAGGATTTTAAGGCTGGAGGGAGGAAATTAGTGTCCTCTTGTTAACTAGTATGATTAAAAGTCAGTGCCTCCTCTGTGATTGAAAATAGCATTTACTTATATTTTAATTACATTCCAAATGCAGTTAATTGCCCAGCCAAGCGATGAAAGTGAGATTTACATAAAAAATAAAGTTTAAGAGCGTATATCAAAGCTGAAATTAATACTTTGAATGCATCTGAAAAAATCAAAAGAAGGTCTGGAAATTTTCAGGAAGGGTTTTGGGTCCACATGAGCTTAAATTCCTACATGGAGCCGGCATTCCAAAATGATTTAAAGTTTTCTTTCAGGTTCTTTTCAGGGAAATTAAGATGGTCAGATTATTCTCCAGAGGGAATAATAATCAGGCTGTTCCTGTTGTACAAAAAAATCATTACCTTTAGAGGTTTCTAAAGAACATCATATATTTGTAGGATGTTTCAGGATTGTTATTCTTTTAAAAGTTGAGGTTTTCTTTTAATATTTCCATACTTGGAGAGGGTTTAGGTTTTAGCTCATTCAGATACTCTAAAGTTTCTTTGAAAATCCTAATTTTCACTTCAATTAATTGTTGTTCAGTCTAAATCTATGCGTTTTTTTTTATTTTTGGAAGCCTTAATGCAGCATGTTCTGAGGTTTGTCTCAGAGGTTTACAGTCTTTCCAGTTTTCATCAGAGCCTCTGCTGCTAAAACATCCTGAAAGTGTCTAAAGTTGTGGAAAACATCAACATTTCAGAGTTTTTACTGTTTTCACTCAATATTTGTTTAAGACATTTAATAGCTTTCTATAAAGTGTTTCTGTAACATTTTTAAGGCAGAGTTTAATGAATCCAGATGCCATTAATAAATGTCTGGGTCCTGAGATTCTGGATTTTGTCTTCATATATTTTTTGTGTTAAAGGTTAGAAGCATTTTTCAGTGATTGAAAACTCTGAATGGCTAAAATCACAGAGAACACTGAGATTTCTTAACCTGAGATGTTCTTGTCTGTTTTCAGATGATGAAACATCCTCTGGTTCTTCTAGATTGATCTGTTTTTGGAAATGAAAATTCATTAGAAGCTCATCATGGTTTTTGACTCCTTTTTTAAAGTCGTCGGGAATTCATATTTAAATGTCAAATTATTCTGGCTGAAACATGTATATAAACATACTCTTTATCAGATGGTATTGTTCCAAAATTTAGAAAATTTCTATTCTGTCTTAAAATCTGTGCTGTTTTTTTTTCGTTATCTTATGCAGGCCAGTTAGTTATCTAACAACTTACAACAGTTAGTACAGCCGTTTCTCTATGACTTTAATAGGACCCATCTGACAACATGAAGTAGGCAGAAAGATTAATAAAATCCTCAAAAATGCTATGATTGCAACAGTTTTATGGCAACTTGACTCAAACATCGAAGTCACTTTAAATGGATCTTTACTAAAGAAGATCTCTGGTATGGTTTAAAAAAAGTAGACATTATTGATGAGCTGGAGGCGTTTGGCGACGAAGATCAGGCTGAGATTCCTCAGGATCGCCGTGAGAAGCTGCTGTCCGATGATGCATCATGTTTGCAGCAGGTTAAACCAACAAAACAGGAACCTACTGAGTTTTAAAAGGCTTTTCAAGATGGGTCAAATTATCAGAGACTGCTGCGCTCATTAAAAAGTGACGTTTTGAAGAACTTACTTGTATTATTACTTGTTTTAAGCCATATAAAATCACTTTATTGGTTGTTTTACTGCAAACAGCTGTTGTTGGTATTAAACCTAATGAAGACTTTTATCCAGACAAGTTTAGAGCATCAGAAATGTTATACATTAGGATTTCAGTCCTTTTGTTGACTACTTTAAAGTGTCGTTTTTTAGAGCAGCTTAAATTTAGCAATGAGAACCAAACAGTTGATTTAAAAAGTCTAATTTATTCAGCAGAAACGGGCATTCCTTCTCTTGGACAACTTTACGCCTCGTTGGAATGCATACTTTAAAAATTGAGCTTTGCGCTGTGAAA